AGGGCCAATTTAAATTGGCCTTTCCCCTCATGGCGTTTGTAACCACCACAGCGGCCAAATGGGGGCTCTGGACGGGTGCAAGGGGCTGGTAACCCCTCCACCTTCAATTAACTACCACAAAACCGCGTTTAAAATATCTAATGAATAAGCTTGTGCCGGAGGCCCTGGGGGGACAGGCGTCTATGACGTCTCCTGGCCAAACCCCATTTGGCGGAACCAGGAGACTGAATTCTTACCCTCAGGGCTCCTCCAGAAACAACAAAAAAACACTATGTGTGGCCACGTGGAATGTTCGAACGCTCACTGCGGAGCAGGGGCTGCCACTCCTCTGTCGGGAGCTCGACCGGTACCGCCTGGATCTCTGTGGTATTTAGGAGGTCCGGTGGACCGGCTCTGGTGCCTGCCACCATGAGCGTTGGACAGTCCTCTTCTTGGGGCAGGAGACTGCCAAACAACAGGGGGTGGCTCTTCGTCTGAACAAAAGAATGAAGGGAGCGTGGGAGCATGGCGATGAGGTGTGGGAAGCTGGAAGCCCCAGGCTTCTTTGGGCTCGATTTCCTATCAACCAGACACGAGGAGTGCTGGTCGTGGTTACTTATGCCCCCACCGAAGACGAACATCCGTGGAGGGATGCAGGCAAGGCCGATGAGTCAGATGCCTTCTATGACCTCCTGTCACAGGTGCTAGCTAAAGTAGCCCCTCGGGATAGGGTCATCTTGTTGGGTGACTTCAATGCCCGAGTTGGTCATGATGCTGGCACCTGGTCTGGAGTGATTGAAAGGCATGGGCCAGATCAGTTCAATAACAATGGCAGGGGGCTGCTAGATTTTTGTGCAGCCCATGGGCTTGTAATTACCAATATGCTGTTCCGACATTGGCACATCCACACAACATCATGGATGCATTCCAGGTCCAAGCAAGAACATCTCCTGGACTATGGAACAGCGGATGCGGGCCCATGTCCTTGACACCAGGACCTACCGTGGAGCTGATCTGCCCACTGACCATCGACTTGTCATCTGTAAGATGAGCCTGCCATTCTTCCACTCCGGTGGTGGGTGTACACCCAGGACCCCATTCAAACTCTTAGTGGCAAGGTCTCAGCTAGCTGATGAAAGTTGAAAGCGAGAATCTCATCATCGCTTGCAGCTGGGGTTGGAATCGTCCCCCACTATTCCTGATGTCGAGGGGAAATGGCTGACAGAGGAGGTGTTCAAGCTGGCTGAGAAAAGGAGACAGGCCCACTTTCATCGGCTACAGCATCCCACGTTGGAGAATGAGAGCCGTGAGGCGCTGCAAGGATGGGTGGTGGTCGCGGGTTGCTGAGGAGATGGAGTCTGCCTCAATGGCCCGCGATCACAAATCGCTCTTTAATTCCATCAAAAAAGTAACCTGCAGTGCCACACCTATTAACATCATTAGGGGGAAAGAACAGCAATCCAATCTCCGACCCCCAGGAATAGGTTTTCGGATTTTCTGAGCATTTCTGCGAGGTCCTGGGGGAGGGGAAATCCCTCAGCCTGGAAAACATCGTGGGACAAAGTGGGGATGACCCTGCCAAGGCTGCGATGCCTCAAATATTGGAGGAAGAAGTCACCCCCTGTGAGTGGCTGGCTGAGGTGCCATCTGTTGAGGAAGTACTGAAGGTGATCCAGAGTTTGAGACCAGGACAAGCACCAGGCAGAGATGATCTCCCAAGCGAAATGCTGAGGGAAGGTGGCGTTTGTGCACAGACTACCCTACATGACATCATAACAATAGTTTGGTCCACTGGACGGGTTCCGCAGGATTGGACGGATGCCCTGGTGGTCCTCCTCTTTAAGAAGGGGGATCGCACAGACTGCAACAACTACAGGGGCATCTCACTCCTCAGTGTACTAGGAAAGGTCCTGGCAAGGATTATTAAACATCGCCTTGCATGGTATGCTGAGGAGAGGATTGTGGAGCCCCAATGCGGTTTCAGGAAAGGGCGGTCCTTCACAGATGCCATATTTTCTGTCCGTCTGCTACAGCAGAGGTGCAGGGAATTCCAACAAGACCTATATCTCTGCTTTATTGACCTGGTCAGGGCCTATGATACCATCAGTAAGCCTGGGCTCTTGGTTGTTCTTCATGCTTTCGGAGACCCTGGCCTCTGCTCACGATCATTAAGGGCCTTCATGATGGTGAGCAGTCCTGGGTAAACTATGTGGCCGGGAGCCGGAGCCATTCCCTGTACACCTTGGGGTGCGACAGGGATGTCCTCTGGCTCCCACATTATTTCACATCTATTTCGACCACGTAGTTCGTGAAGCCTTCAATAGCTGTACCGGAGGAATTTCCATCTGGTACATATACAATGGGAGGCTGCTCAATGCCTGGGTGTGGTCAAGGAATGGCTCCCTATCGCTCAACCATGTTATGTATGCCGATGATCTGGTAATTGCTGCTCACTCAGAGGAGGAGTTGGATGCACTGCTGCTGAACCTGGAGCTTGACACTAAGAGGTGGGGCCTTACCATCAGCCCCACCAAACTAAGCACCTGCCTGGGTATTTACACTCCACCCCCACAACTCCCAATTGGTGATAGGGTAGTTGTGGAGAGAGTGGAGGGTTTCCCATACCTGGGCAGCGTGCTCATGACCGGCTCCAGTTTAACAGTAGAAGTCTCACTCCGAATCAGTCGAGTGGCATTATCTTTTCATCGGTTGCATAACGCTGTGTGGAAGCTACCTGGTCTATCGCTCCGCATGAAGCTTCAGGTCTTCTTCATGGACCCCCCTAATGGAACATCTTCACCAGTTAGAAACATTTAGGCTGGCCTGCCTATGATCCATCGTGGGTTTAACCAGGGTGGATTGCGTGAGGAGCTCACAAATCCTTGAAAGATCTGGACAAAGTCCCATCGATGAGCTCCTCTGGCAGGCAAGGCTACATTGGCTGGGTAATGTAGCCCGCTAGAGAAGAGATGGAGTGATGTGGTGCAGAAGGATGTGGAGCTGAGTGGACTTGCCGATGACTGGTATCAGCAGTGTCAAGATCGGCCTCTGTGGAGGAGGCTCGTGAAGGACACCACTGGGCAGTTGGAGGCAGTTTCCCTCCAACAATAACGGAGGGCGGAGGAGCGACGCTCACAACAATGAGCGGAGCGCCGGGTGGCTAAAGCACAACAAGTTGGCACAGTAGGGGGCACAGGTGGTGCATCAGCCAGTCACCTCAGTCAGTCGACCTGTGGCATCTGGGTCTGCCCCGTGACCTACTGCCAGCGGGCGTTCGACACTTCATGTGGCCTCAAAGTGCACATAGCCTGGCACAAGCATCGTGGTTACGTCACTGCCACTTAGTGGCGAATTGCAGTTGTTTCTAGATTTTAGTTGTTATTCTTTCTAGATAGTTGTTGTTGTTGTATGTGTGGGGAGCGGTAGTATAGTGCTACGAACCCGGTGACCCAAATTCGATTCATGCTCACGGCCAACACCAATGACGATTATCATAACTGGTTCTGGGCCTTCTCTAGGTCTACTCAGCCTCAAATGAGTACCCAGCGTGATATGTAGAAGAACAAAAAACTTCGCCAAGAGGGAGACAAAGGCGGCTGAGCGTGGTGTTGGCCACCCACCCCCTTGTGTGCCATGCCGGCCTTCATAAGTGCTGCTCGCTAACAGCACTTGCTCCAACAGTCTGTTAGTGCTATATAGGGGATCTTTATATTTGTGAACCTGTGTGGGGGGGCATTGCCGCAGTAGTTGGCTCAATGCGCTGCAAGTGCAGGTGGTATTGGTTGTTGGGCCTCCCCCTAGGTTGACTTAGCCCTAAATATATAAGTGGGGTGGTGTGTTGCTACCAACACAGGGATTGACAATGCATTTCCGGAGCGACGTCGGTCATAACCACTCATGCAACCTTCCAGCCTTGATAATTAACTGTGTAACAAGAAAAAAATTGTTCCTGGGTAGTAAGTGTTATTTTCTATCTTGATTTAAAGCTTTCGTGACTGCAGGAATTCATACTCTTTGGGTCTTTCGTTAAAGGAACGTAGATAGAAAAATAATAAATCTCTCACAATACAATGGCCAGCCCAACAGCTTTGGGGTGCCCTCGATCTTCCTTCTCTAACCCCGCCCACTTACCCTTGGGCTGCACCCATCTCAGGCCTCGATGTGGCGGTAGCTACATTGACATGCTAATCTCTCACTATACAATGGCCAGCCCTCGATCTAACCCCGCCCACTTACCCTTGGGCTGCACCCATATCAGGCCTCGATGTGGCGGTAGCTACATTGACATGCTAATCTCTCACTATACAATGGCCAGCCCCCGATGTAACCCCGCCCACTTACCCTTGGGCTGCACCCATCTCAGGCCTATATAACACCCTGCTTCAGCAGCTCTCTTGCTATATTTTTTCACCTGAGGACGATTGCTTGTGTTGCGATCGAAACTTCGTGATTTTTATTATGTTTCTATCTACGTGCCTTTACTGAAAGACCCAAAGAGTATGATATTTGCGAATTGCTTATGCCTCAAAAGTACAGAAAATGGCTATTATTCCCCACAAATTTTGCTTTGTGACCAGGACACAAAAGCAAAGTTATTAATCCACTCTATTAATAACACTGTGTAACAATTGTATCATTGTTTTGTTCCTGGGTAGTATGTGTTATTTCCTAATTCTTATGCCTCAAAAGTGCAGAAAATGGTTATTATTCCCCACAAACTTTGTTTTTGTGACCAGGACAGTGATATTTTGAAATGTACCTATTTTCAATGAGAAAACGTGTGCATTTGTGTCATTCCTTCACATAACGTCCTGGTCACAAAAGCAAAGTTTGTGGGGAACAATAGCCATTTTCTTTACTTTTGAGGCATAAGCAATTAGAAAATAACACTTACTACACAGGAACAAAAATCGTGTTACATATATAATTTGCTCGCATGCAGCACCTACCCCGACACGTCGCTCATTGGCCGAACGGGGGCACGGATGGTTGTGAGTTTTGTTGAAGCTTTGTGGCCTTACCCAGCACCGTGAGGGTGGTGGACACAGTCTTGACCGGCTTGGTGAACAGGGAGCACACGTAAATGCCCTCGTCAGTAAGGGTGGCGTTGGTGATGGAGATGGTCAACACCGTGTCCGCTCGTTCAACCAGCTCTATCCGTGTGTCCTTGAGGGCTGCAGGGCAACAGGGAACACAGACATTATTGTTGTTGTTACACTTGTTTACCCAGGAAGGCCTCACTGAGTCTCAATGATCTTTTTCATGGAGAAACTGGCTCCTGCCCGTTTCTCACTGGGTTGGTGGGCCTGGACACCTCGACTCTGTTTCTCTTTAAATTACACAGTTAAATGAATGTCTAGTGTAAATTCTATACAAATTACCAAGTTACTCGTAGTTGTGTAATATAGATACCAATTACAAATTAGAAATGTAATAAAAATTTAATATTTAAATGCCATAACATTTAGTTTCAACTCGAAAAAAAACACATTAGAGAGCTATAGAGCACAGTTATGGAAATGAAAACGAAAACAGTAGTAATGTGGAATGTCCACCACTGGCCCAGGCGAAGAGGTCGTCACAACCAATGTGAATAATGCCACTAACCCTCGCCTTCACGTTCTTCCTTCTGCTAGATGGCACAGCTGTTGAGAAGCTCACACGGAAACTCAAGTCCGCTCGTACAGCAATTAATCGCGTGGAACTTAAAAAAAAATCTAAAATATTATTACATACATTGAGTGTGTAATGATCTTGATGATCGTTATTTGGTTCCCTTTGAAACATTTCTGGCAGCACTCATGCAAGCCAAGGTGTATCGAGTGCCTGTCACCCATGCCCCATGCTGGATTTGGTGGACTTGTGCCGTGCTTGCAACTTGTGCCAGCGCATTATTGTGGATGCCATAAACACTCCCATTCTTTCGTCAAAATGTACTTCTGGACTGCCGTTTTTCTTTACATATCATGCCCATAAAAAAAGAACGACAATTTCTTAAAAAATGTGTATAGCATTGTAACATGGTATGCCATTACATGGGCGATACTGACAAGCGGCGTGCAGTTATCTGCCTCGCCTGATGCGCAGACGTGTGTGGGTTCGATCCCATACCCTAACGCCCGTTGTATATTTGGAGTCTGTGTGCTCTCCCTCCCCATGGTGGTCACTTGTACTTTTCTCCGGGTCCTCCGATTTCACCCTCTACATTTAGAAACTTGCATTTGTATTTATTTGCCCGCCACATATGGTTATATCAGCCACGTTGATGAGCTGTCACCTCTGAAAAAGAGGTCATATAGTTAAGTGGGATATATCTGGTAAATAAAATCATTTAATTAGCTTAGTTCATGTCAAAGGCAAGACAATGTGGATTACTGGTCTGGTGAGAATTGAGCACCTGAACATGCCTTTTTTCTGGTGAATCTTGTTCTCATACTAAACTTGCACTGTTTTAATTATCGTGTGTTTTGTTTACGACCATAACATACGTCGTTAGTTGTGCAATATTCCGTAAGGACCCTGTACTTGTGCTCTGCAATATTGACGTTTTTGTCTTTGTTGTGTTGCTGCTGTGCTCACGCATCATGGATCTCCATTGTAAAATATCCGGGAAATTGGCTGAACGAGATCATCCGTGTAACATGTAAACTCATACTCAATTTCCATTGGATTCCCTATCCAGTGGTGGAAATGACACATTCCTGCTGCTTAGGTTGTCATTTCCGTGGCTGTCCTGCAAAGCGCTCAAATGTTTTCGAGTTTGAGACCTAATGACATGCATTTTAAATATATAATGCAATTACATTTGTAATTTGTAATTGGGATCTCAATTTCACACCTCAGTGTCATTTGTATATAAATTATGTCCGACAAGATTCATTAGCAATTTGTACCTAATTATATTTTCTACATTAATATATGTGAATTAATTTTTTCCCATTCTCATGATGAGCCAATAGTATAAGTAAATTGTTATTTCGGAATAATCGTGGTTTTGCCTCAGAGTACGTGATTTAATTGCAGGATTCTGCTTCCAATGGTTGTCAAATTCCTATCTAGGTAAAGTATACACGAGGGAGGCAATTGACATGCCTCAGGAAACCCACGCAAACCACAAGAGAACACTAAAAACTCTGCACACATAGCCACATATTTTACTTGTCATACTGCTTCTCTGGCAGGCACGTTTTTGCCAAGCTGGTGGGTGTCTCCATCTGTTTGTGATCCACCAATCCCATCTGTAAGGTTATATCGTCACACTCGTGTTTTGATAATAGGTTAACATTTCGTCAAGGGTCAACTGAGCATGTAAATGAGCACAAGTTTGTGGGAAGCCACCACTTTCTTCTTTTTTCGTATGGCATGTAAGCAACAGTTTGTATAAATGATGTCATAGTTGAATGGTATGGTCCTTTCAAGGCGGCAGGAGATGCTGTACGAATTGCAGCGACACCGACAGGGTGTGCATGGATGGAGCACTCGTTGGTGTGATGTGTTTGATGGTTTGGGCTTTCCAAAACCACCACTGGTTGCCCTCAACAGGACCTCGCGTCATGAGATTGTGATATTTCCTCCCGCCAATGTATTGAGCAGAGAACTCAAGAGACTAGGATGAGTGGCATTTGCTATAGTGACGAGGATCATCAGAATGACAACAACACCAAAAATATTACAATCAAGAACCAGATATAAATCAGAGTGAAAGCAACGCGTTACAGAAAGCAATTGAAAACTGCACGAATAGTATCAACACGTAACATTTAGAGACCATTCGTAGTGAAAATACATTACACACAGATCAACATTTTGATGTTTTGAGACAAAATGTTAAGGGAGACAATGTGTATTTTATTATCAGTGCAAATACCGTATTTGTAATAGGATATTTAAGCTACTTTTCTATTTGATTATTAATGAGGTAGGAAGAGAAATAACATTATATTTGTATGTTTATTCATAGGGTGCAAATAACATGCTTCTTCATACAGGGACAGAAACTTTATTTAAATTGTCTGTAGAGACAAATAAACATTGCATACAAATGAAATTAACAAACACGTTCATTAATAAGTAATGCTGCGCGTGTCTTTCAGATGTACGTTGAGTGGGAGAATAATTTGTTGAACATTCACAAAGCCTCTGCATGGCTTATGTTTCACTTGATGAAAGGAGCTGCTATTAAATTCTGATTGAGTGACACGCATAGTTTCACATTATTTTGTGATGATGGTTCACGAGGGCATCATGCCATCTCAATGGAATGAGCTGGCAACGCTGGAATTGTAGGTAACTATTATATGCGGCCATACACCGGGATTTCAAGCGCAGTGAGTTAATGGTTTCAGCCGAGTCACCAATGACTGCTCAACAACTGAATGTTTAATGGGTTATTTCATTTATTGTTGGCTTATTCTGATATACAATGTTTCAGTTTGGCATGTGATGAACACTCGACTACAGAAGGCATACATCATCTGTTTCCCAGGTGTGGATAAGTAGATCTATTGATTAACCTCAGAATGGATTTTGTGACATCAGAGCTGTTTCCTTCAACAATTCGGATAACGATAATGAATGATAATTGTGATAATCACAATGGTGATGATGATGATGACGATTATAATCGCTCTCATGATAGTGATAAATATGATAGCGATGGTGGCAATGATAGTAATTATGGTTATGGTGTTTGTCGATGATGATGTTGATGATGTTGATGGTGGCATCAAAACAGCTGGGCACCTCTCTGTTAGAGCCGCTACGAAGGCTTCATGGAAGTTAGTTTCTAACATGATGCGTGAAATAATTATGAATATAGACAGAAAAAAGGATGATTATGGAAGTATTTTAGAAAACCCCTTTTCAATACCATCGTTGCATTTGGTTTCCATTGAATGATGCATGTTTCGGCATTATTGATGGAGTGATATTTGATTGCCATGCAACAACCACTTTTCAGGGTGTAAAACACGTGCACCACAGAGGTCATTCCTTGGCTCTGTCTCATGGGAGTCGTTCTCTGAGACAACGTGGTTGTCTTTTTTCAGCACGATACTGCTAGCACAATTGGAATGTAATTGTGAGGACAGAACATTTATATATAGCATAGGTTAACAAACACTTTGCAGACCTGTGTTTTGCCTTGTTTTTGTATTGAATGCCTTTTGTTACCTGTTTCACTCAGTGTAAAATGCGGCTGAGCTCTTAAGCATGTTTCTCTCTCGTCCCAAACATTTGGTATTATAACGTTGGCTTTTACAGTAAACGAATATGCATCTATTATCCTGAACATATAGAAATTCAGAGAGTCTTCATTTATTACCAGATAGAATTCAGTGGGTCGTAGGAATAATAGTGAGGTCATGGATAGATTTATACACTGGGGTCAAGTGCAGGCAAAAAGTTGCTGCTATCACATGTTATTTTCACAAGTGAAAGTCCTCAATATAAAATGTGACCGGCAAGAAGAGGTACAAAACATGAAAAGAGGCTGTATTCCATGAAGAACGTATTGTCCGAATTAATACTTTGTTTTGCTCATTGTGTAGTTCTTGAATTATTAAATACATAAATATCGCATGCACAACATCAGCTCTGTGAATCAGTAGGAGGGCAATGGGAGAGAGGGATAATACCAGCCTTGCTCCTGCAATATCCCAGACACATTTTTTTCTTTTTTTAGGGAGGATGGGTTAAGGTCAGAAACGTTAATGCCGTTCTGCATTGCTGCGTCGTAATGAAAGATGCTTCTCTGAGGCCTTGAAAATGTCCGTGTTCATGTGCGTGGGAGTTTGGGCATAGATCACGTGTTTAGTCTTACTCGTTTGCTTAATTATGCCATCAGCTATGCTGCTATATTCACCGTTAATGTAGTCTCTAGCAGTCACACTTCGTGTGAGAAAGCATTGATTACATATGGTGGAACTTGATGGCTCTCAATTCTTTGCCTTTTTACGCAAGCATATATCTGTATGTATGTATTCTGTATGTATGTATTCTGTATGTATGTATTCTGTATGTATGTATTCTGTATGTATGTATTCTGTATGTATGTATTCTGTGTGTATGTATTCTGTGTGTATGTATGTACCGTATTCCCTCGTTATTCAGGAACTCGCTATCTACGATTTTTACTATTTGCGAATTGCATCTGGAACTCTGCATGACTGCTTCGAGAGAGAGAAAGAAAGTGAGCCAATAAAGTGATGTTGCATAGCATCATCATAATTGATGGTAAGTTCATTTATATACTTTGATGTAATCCTTTAATATATATCTTTCATTTACTTTACGCTTATTCTACCAAATGTTTTTGTGTTATGATAATGTCCATGTATTTAAGGGCACATTTATATATATTTAAGGTAATTAATTTAAAAGATTGGTTTCCGTTGGCCAATATAATCAGCCGGGAAATTTGCTATTCACAAGCATCTCCAGATTGTATACATCGCAAATTAAACGGGAACACAGTATGTAGACGGTGAAGGTACAGCCATGCAATTGCTATCTCACAACACTGCTGGTGAAAGGGGTGACATACAACAAGATTTTTAGCTGACGTGCTAAAAGTTAAATTACCTATGTTAACATCAATCATAATGTATTTCGGCTGTGACGACGAGATGCTTTCAATGTTTGTAAGATTGTTTTTTAAGCACAACAAATTGATAACACTGCACTAACTTTTTAATATGTTCATTTAATTAAACCAATTTCCAAGGAGTGTTGATTAAATGGTGGTACTATTGAATTATGCACACCTTGCCATTGGCTAATCCACCCCCCCCCTCCCCCACACTTTAAATCCAATTACATTTTTACAGCATTAAGCGAAGGGAAATTTAAAAGTAAAGTTCTCCTTGAAAACTAGGACTTTAATTAGGGAAATTCACTGCTTGTGTGACCCATTAAATATTACCACTCAAAGGGGTCCGCGCATTTAAAGAGACCGTGTATTATCGCCCTGTGTGAGTTTATGTACGCAGTAAGTCACCGTGATTAGTTACCAATATGCAATCAACTTTAAACAAAGAAGAGGGTATCATTAATGTTTACAAGCGTTTGGATACATTTTGTATTTACTTCGAAATATGTAGGGAATGCATGGACATTGCTGAAGCGTCATTTACTGTTAAAGTTTTGTTGAAGCACATGCAGCATCTACTATAGGGACATTTTCTGTTTGACTTAACATGCGAAAGTCTTTGCTGTTCATTTTCATGAAACACTGACACGAGTAAAACTGTCTTCCTTCCCAAATATGTTTTCAGAAGTGCTCATCTTTAATAGTGACCCAGTGGTGAAAATTCCACATTCATATGGAAAGGTGCCAGTCTCTACCAAGGATAACCATTATCACCATATCACAAAGCAGTGCCCACTTTATTGACATGCGAGTGATGATGGGCTGGGTTGACTAATGACCAAGGTTTAAACTCTGATCCTTCTGATTGTGAGGCACGTGTTCTCACCACAGGCCCACCCAGCAGATTTTTAGTGGGACATGTTTAACTGTGTGATGTTAGCTTTAGCAATAGTACACAGTTTCCTATACCTCCGTAATGCCACATGATCTCTAATATCCATAGCATGTGGCTTTGGTAATGCCCTACAGAAATTATAAGGCAACTGCAGGGATTGGACTGTTGAATTGGTAGAAACTGGTTCACAAGGTTATCCATCCACCTAAATAATATATTTTGCAATAGCGCCTCTTATTGCTGCTTGTAATTGTTCATAGGCAGGCGTATATTTTGTTTGTAGACTTGTTTAATGTAAAGCCAGTGCACCTTGCCCGAGCAGCGTGATTGATTTGAGACAGCCGTATTGAAATTGAGCAAGTCTAAAAGATGAGCAGAAGGGCATTATGCACTGTTCTCCTTTCACATTATCCTCGGCTCATTAATAATGCAGCTTATTTTCAATTGCTACGTCAATATCATTGCACACAAAGACACACACTTTATCCTCCAAAGACATTCCAAAGATGACCATTTAGGTGACAAATGACTCGGTATGTGCTTTCACCCTCCGGCACAATGTAATGCAGTTTCATACAGAGATACAAAGGGATTATCTAAACACTACAGACATTGGAGGGCTGAGCATCGTAAGGATGCATAGAGATTAAGCAAGCAAGAATAGAAACATACACCAATATTACATGTTGTATAATTTGTTCGAGTCCACTGTCAGAGTAATGAGAATTACGTAAGAAATCCAATCGCAGTTGTAGTCTGTACTCTTTACCCCATAGTTGCATGCAATGCATGACTTTTAAAATTAGCCTTGGGCACTGCTAATCACCATTGGAAGTCCTTAGCGACTGGCACAAACTCCACATTCTTATGCCAGGTAATGCTCTCTCGATCAACAACAAAACATAATCGCTGTTTGCTTCACACACAGTGAAAGTCATGATGTCGGCATGGATGAAGGAATGAGCCAAGCTCTGACCTTTTGAATGCCTAAGTGAGTTGTGTTGTCAGATTATCCTCACCTTTTTTTTCGTCGAAGAACAGCGTTTGCTGCGCCGAGTTGGCCCACTGGATGGGTGAGCCATCGCTGTTTTCCACCGTGCAGGTCAGCAGGACGCGTTCGCCCTCCACGGCTGTCACATTCTTGGCGACGGGTGTCTGCGACTGGCCTGCAAGTCGAGAGATGACGCCATTATGCCGAATCTGTACGGGGCATTGTGTATGCACATTCATTGAGGAAGTGTGTACATAAAAGCGACTGGATGTCTGGGTGAAGTAACTTCATGTATGTATGTGGATCTTGTTTCGCACCGTACGTAGCCAACCATGCTAATCGCAGGTGTGGAGGAGGACAATACATGAGCATTGAGGCATCGGTGCTCATCTCCTGTTTACAGCCATGTAGAACCAATGGTGGAAATTCCACATTCCTTTGGCAGGGGCAAGCCACTCCATAGGACTACCACTGTTGACTTCCACACAAAGTGGTACTCATTTAATCGATCCCAAAAAAATTTGATGGGACGGGTTAACGCCTCCAACTAGGATTTGTACGCACGACACTGTCACTGCATAGCGCACTTTCAGATGTGCTTCTGCGGCTGCCTGGAACGCTCTTCTGATATTAGGAAGCTGATGGAGCTATGAAATTCTAAATCTCGATTGAAAAGTAATTTCTTTAAACTTGCTTTTTGTCTTTCATTTGTTGTCCTTCCCCCACGCCTCCGATTAGCACGGTTGGCTATGTACGATGCGAAATAAGTTAAACATACATACAAATATAAAGATTTACAACGTAAGTCAGATCAAAGTGACTCCCAGCTCAAATGAGCAATGGGGTGGTATTCACTTCCACTGGCACCGCAGAGCCAGTCATGGAAATTGCAGCTTCCTTTAACAAGGGTGACCACTGTTGGCTTACCCAAAAAGTGGTACTTGTTTTATAGATCTCGGAGGGATGATTGGCTGGGTTGATCCTGACGAGGATTTGAGCTTACAACCTACCAATTGTATAAATGTATGCTGAACTACTTTTGCACCGTACGTAGCCAATCGTGCTAATCGGGGGTGCGGGGGAAGGACAACAAACCAATCACAATTCCAGTTTGGATGGTTGTTGCAGTCACATTGTAATGATAGTTCCTAAAAATCAATTGTGCAAATTCTGGCTGATTCCAAATGGTTTATGAAAATCATCATTAATGGTAATGCATCACATGTGTTTGTCATGTCATCGCTGCTCATTTATTATACGACACACTAATTGATTTGAATACACTTCTTATATTTTCTAATCGATCCACAGTCAAAATATTACTTGTTGTGATCCCCAAAGAAACAGACGATCTAGCTAAGTGGCACTATGGATAGAGCACTCAACTCATCATTGGAAAAATTGTGACTTCAACTCGCAGCTGGAGTTGGCTCAAGACATAATTCCTTTTCGGGTGGTAAATAAGTACCACTGTGTGAGTCGTCAACAGTGGCTGCGCTCAGTAGACATAGGCCTCGGTCATAGGCAGGTCGAATTTACACAATGGGATCACGGCCTATAACATAGTTTTCTATGACCCATATGGAGCAAAAGTCCCGGGCACACGTTGTCTGGACTTTAATATGCTATTTTGTATATCCTCATGCTTTGCTGACTGATGTCTAACTTCATCATTCATAGCCTGAAAAAAGTTCAGCAGAAAGCGATACTAATTTTATTGACTGCAGAGAGAGATCCGCTGAGTGAACCCCCCTCCCACCAACCAGGATTTGAAGTCATGCTTTCTGAATGTAAGTAACCCCCAGTGCCACCACGCCTGACTTAATATAAATTTCCTGTAATTTAAAATAATTCTATTCTATTTCAGGTTAAGTATATTTGAGCGTTTGCTCTAAAGTAGGGGCCAATGAGCAAATTAATTGTAAGTGGTGCACTTGACAGTGAAGCACCTTTATAAAGATGAAACCAGAAAGCCAGACTTAGGGTCCGGTATAGGTCTATGGTCTCTGGTTCATTCAAATTCCAAAGCTCGGAGTTACCCAGTACAAAGAAAGCAATTCATTTCATGTTCAAATACTTGATTGAATTGTACTTGTTTTTTTTATATGTGATTCAGGTCCCAGTTTCCGAGTGGAACAAAATGTGGCTTTTCAGTAAAAGATCAAGGGTTCATTTTCCTTGGCCTGTGATGTAGCCACCTCCCATGTGACACTGCTGACCTTTCAGAAATCAAAACAACCAACGTTGTTTTCGAGCAGCTGTACAATTGTAATGCTCAGTGTAACGTTAAATTATTCAATGGATGTAATTTGCTCTTTAGATTGTCAAAATTTTGATTCGCAACAAATCTATTGCGCCAGTTGGTTTCATATGTGAATGCAAGATGCTGTTTCTTTAAAAAACTAAAAATCAAGGGTGATCAAAAGATCGTCCTACTCAAACAAGCAATAGACCAGTGCTCTTTTCGATTGGTGACCCCGAGCTGGTTTTGGGAATTCCACATTACCATTGAGGAGGCCAGTATCTGAAGGAGACCAATGGTTTAATATGACACAGTGTAAGTGATTACAAGGATGGTCCGTGTCACCCTGCAACTGGGATTTGGATTTTGAACCTTTTACTTGTGTGTCAAGTACTGCACCACCAAACAAGATTTAAATAATTTCATAAGACCAAGACATCTTATTCTAAATATGTAATTTGGAAATAAATAACATGGTACAGTATTCCTTTCCCGCCATAATGCATGCAAATAAATTACCACAACTGCACCCAGTCTCGTAAGATCTTGAAAGCTAAGCATTTACTCTTAGTTTGGTGACGACCAGGGCTTGCCAGGTGTTGTAGGTGTCAGGATGACAAGGTGTGGCCAGGTGATAGCATTGCTGATAGTCATCTACTCGTATGCGTAGCTTTTCTCTGGGAAGTCCGATTTCCCCTCACATGCCAAACACCCATTTGTGGAATTGGTCAAATGTCCGAATGCAGAACCTTTTGAAAATGAGTCTCAAGTCCCAGTGTGGCTTTCCTGGGTGGGTAAATGATTGCTAATTTAGCATGACATTGAGACATAGTACTCTGCAGTTTGTCAGAGGTTCTGCAATTGACTATATTGTGTGAAGATCTGTTGTACACTGATAATTAAATTGGCATGCAATTGGTTAAAATAAATATTAAGTAAATAGGCATCCACTGGCTCCCTAGCAATGCTGCCTTATTGAGCTTTTTGCACTTTCTTATCGAATCATTTTGCAAACGAGATACTGTTGATAACCAAACTACGAGTAGTTCTTCTTGATCCCCATTATAAATAAATCAGTATACAGAACACCTCCATTCATGTAAGAGATGTGATCTTGTGTACAGTCCACTACCTGTGTTTAAAAGCAAACGAATAACCCCATTGGCATCAGACCTTGCTATCATTTCATTTCTCCTGCCAGATCCCGCAAATCTGTTGTGCAGGCATCACCTGACCACCAAGGCCTGTTTAAACGGTATCACCACCACCACGTTCCTTTGTGTCTTCATCTCGATTACCTGTCTGTGAGTGCCCACCCCAAGGCCTGCCTTCAATCGTTCACACACGCCCAATCCATCACAACCCTTCCTTCTCCAATTGCATCTACAGCTCTTTCCTACTGCATTCTTTTCATCACACATTTGCTGAGCACATGCCCAAATGCCCATAACTTCAAAGTGGTCGGCAATAAGCAGCAATAATGTCGATGCAATTAGGTTAAGTTCACACGTACATTTATTTTTTGCAAGGTTATACATGACATTTGGAATAGAGACAAGAAGGAAAATATAAACGTGAGCAGTGCAAGGAAATAAAGTTGAAACAGAAGGATATATGTTGAACTTCTTTCGCACCGCATGTATCTAGCCGTGCTAATCATTAGTGCTGTGGCCTGCAGCAGTGTGGTGGCTGAATGTGCACCATGGATGACAGAAAATGTCAGGTAGACTGAGTTCTCAACGGCAACGGGAGCGGAGGAATCAAAGAGTAAAGTTCAGGGGGACAATAAACAAGGTATTAGCCATAGCAGAGTGATACAAATGTGACTGACCACTGTTGATTGAGTATGCTATTATTCTGAGGGAGGATCTAAGTTAAAACTCAACTAAACGTTATATTCTTAGTTTTTTCGGTAAAGTCACGTTGAAGAGAAACAACAAAATAACAAAATATATATAAAACAATAAAAAATTCTCACGACGTTTCGACCATAACTCAAACGGTCATCATCAGGTGTGACCGTTTGAGTTATGGTCGAAACGTCGTGAGAATTTTTTATTGTTTTATATATATTTTGTTATTTTGTTGTTTCTCTTCAACGTGACTTTACCGAAAAAACTAAGAATATGAATTACTGCAGTAACGAAAGCTTTAAATCAAAATTCAACTAAACGTTGTTTTTAATTTTACCAAGTAAGGCCCACTGAGCAATATAGCTCTTTTTTCAGAAGCGATCTGGCCACAAATGATAGCCGAACGAAGTGGCTTATATTGTAGAAATGTTTTGCAGCAAAATAGTCGAAACGCATATCTCTAAATGTGGAGTAAAAAAACCGGATGACCGGAGAAAAATCCATGGGACCACGGGGAGAACACGCAAACTCCAAACCACGACCTCCTGTACACCAGGCGTGCTAGTTAACATCTCGCCACCATGACGTCCTTAGCCTATCCTGCAACCCAGCTTTAAAACATCCTTTGCATGCAAATATACGTCGTAAGCCTCTTTCCGAGTTGCTATGTTAATTGGTGTGAATGCACTGTTAATTGTGGCTTTGTCTCCCCTTAGAACCCCAATATTTTAGTAAACCTAGGATTAAACAAGCCTTGCTTCTCTCAAATCTCATGTGCATTGCAACCAGTAAGCATCATGTCACCACAAAACATTCTGGCACCTAATCTAAATTATTGATTTTCCAAGCCATCCTTTTTCCAGGATGTTAATATTTAATGGAAGGCTGTGCCACAAATTGCAACTTAACTCTTTGCAACATAACAGGTTGTTAAAACGATGTATGCATCCTACTTAGTGTTCATTGTTTCTATTTTATTTTCCGTGTGGTCAGTCTAATGGGTTGCGCATTGACAGATAATTGTTTAAAACTGTGGAAAGAAATGGCTGAAATTCTACTTGAAATATTTTTGAAACATTC